ATATAAGAGAGAGTTATGCAATTGTATATGTATATGGAAGAGCTGGGAAAACTGAGAGGCAGGAGCTAAAAGAAAAGGGGGGCAGAAGATGAAAAGGGATGAGGAGGAGCAGAGAGGAGAGGATGACGACGATGACGATGACTTACAAGTCAAACAGGAGGTAGTGGAAGCCCTCCTCTGATATACTGTCATGAAGACGAACTGCGAGAGAAAAAAAAAGAGAGATTGAGAGAGATAAAGTGATTCCTGGGCTCTGTGTAGCTGGAGCATTCAAGCTATGATGGTTATTCAAAGAGTTTCTGAAAAACACTGGGGATGGCTGCTGCATTTTAAGTTTTCGGTTGTTTTTTTTAAAAAAGGAAAAAGGTGAGATAAAGAGATAGTGAGGGTGCGCGTGGGGTAGAAACCACAGGGAGTCGAAATAATTGAGTCTTACATCATATGTATTTACAATAGGGTAGGAGCTTCTGGCAATACAGGGTTCGGTTTAAACAACAAATGAATAAAACGATATACTTCTATTGGATCTTTTAATAAAAAATGTTAAGTGTGTGTTTTGGCAAAAAAAAAGAAATTGTTCTGTATCAGGAATAAAAGACTGTTAATCAAATCTAAACTGGTCTTTACTTTTAAATGGATTCAAACTCATTTAAATTAATTATTTTCAGTGGGTTGAAAATAAGAAAAGCATGTCCTCACCGATGTTGGGGTGTTTCAACAGACGACAAATACGAGCCTCTCGCTCCAGCTTCTGGTGATCTGAGGCGCAACAAAAGAGAGAGAGGTATGTCAGAGTTATTGTTAAACTTGGGTTATAAATATGTTATATCTATATTGTAGAAGGCTTTTTAGGACGATAAAGTCAAATGTGTCAAAAACAGTTTAGAAAATGGTTTCATGTCACAAAGGACGAAGAGAACGCAAAGGAACCCAGTGGGTGTAAAATATGGAAAAAGTGAAACATAATAAGGCGTGTTGTTCTTCCAAGTTTTAAACTAAGAAGGCTCAAGGTGGATTCCAGTGCTACATACGATAATTTAAAAAACAAACAAACACATTCTTGTTTTACTCCATAGTTTAATGGGTGATCTTCACTAAGGCCCACAAGATTCAGCAAGTTTCTGTATTGGTGACTGACAACATAACTGTTTTCTGGTCATTTAGAGCACAAGAAAAACAATATTTCCTTAAACATAAAACTGCACAAAAAAATAAATAAATAAATAAATAATAATGAAGACGTAATGAAAAAAAGGTCAAAAAGATCAAATAAATATCCATCCATACAAAGCATTTTTCGTGTCCATGAATTCAAGAGTCTATGTAAAAACTGAGCATGAATATTTAGCAAAAATACAAGTTGTTCAAATCATAAAACACCAAACTGAATTTAAATAATGTTGCTGAATTTTTGTGTGTGTGTTACATTTTTCTCCATAATGCAACATAAATTTAATATATTATGTTTAAGTGGCTTTGAACTTTGAATATTTCAGAAACTCGTGATCTACTGGGATTTTCCCACACAACCAACTCTGGGGTTTACAAAGACTGGTCCCGTAAAGAGAAAATGAGCAGCGGTTCACTAGGAGAAGACACCTTGTTACTCCCAGACTTCAAAGGAGCATAGCCATAATTCTTCCACCCAGAAGGAAGAGAATAGTCATTCAAATAACCACTTATTACAACCAAGATATGCAGAAGAGCATCTCTGAATGCAGGAAGGAGCAGAAGACCACACTGCCTGCCGTTCCTGGTTGCAAAGAAAACTACTTTGAGACTAAAATTTGTTGCCTGGTGTGTCTGTGCAACATTTGGTGCAAACAACATGAAACAGTGGTTCCACAGTGGATGTGTTATATCAATAAAGAAATGATGTGGGAATTATTTTATAGGGATATTTTCTGAGCTTCAGTACTGGCTGAGCAGCATTTTGACACCAGCGCATACCAACTACTGCTGCTGACCGTGTTTATTCTTTTATGATCGCTATCTACACATCTTCTGATGGCTACTTTAAGGATAAAATACAGTGTCACAAAGCTGAAATCATGTCTGGTGGTTTCCTTCACCTGAACTGAATCAATCCAATAGTGCATCTTTGGGTTGTGGTGGAACCAGGGGCGTAATTTCCAGGGGGGTTAGAGGGTTATGACCCCCC